TTCTCAGTAGCTATCTAACATTTCTCTCAAATAACTAACTTAAATACACATCACTGAATAGTCAATAAACTGTTGTATAACCAAGGTAATTTTATATTGATTTTTCTTACATTATTTACTCTGTCTTAAGAAAGATTTACACACTCAATAGTTGTTTTTTTTATTAGATATATAAGAAGTACAGGTTTATATCAGCTGTTAGAGTTTTTATATAAGTACTTGTTATATCACATATACTGAAGAGGTCTAAGGGCCTAAATAGCTCACCTGGTATGTTTTTTCTTTATATGAAACAGATGGATATCTTCAAGAACAACTTTCCTGTTCAATTGATCTATGTATCAAAAAAGGGGTCTTTTTGTAAACATAATTATTTTCTTTCTGTGATTCATTAAAAATCTTGTCATAATTACTTTTTCACTTTTACTAGAGGGAGCTAAAGATCTTCAACAAAAACAGGTCAAATGAAGGGAAAATCCCTTTACCTAATATACAGGACAGGAGCAGGATATTATTTAATACTTACCTATATTTCCCCTAGTATAGGCCCTGCCCCTCTGTCCCCAAGGTGGCTACACCCTCCACTTATACAAACACTTAATCCTCTTGGCACAAGGATATTCCAGACCAAGTAAGGCTAACATCCCTTTTTACCCATATTCAAAGAGTAGGATTTAAATCTTTACCTACTACCTACTTTCACAAAGCACGCCCACTCCTCTGTCCCCAGGTTTAGGGGTGGGGGGTGGGGGTGCACACTCTTCATTTATACAATGCTGAATGTCCTTGACCAAAATACATCTTGACTACATTTTGTTAAAACCCTTTATCCCATATTCTAGTGCTAGGTGTGTGCCCCTCTATCCTCTTGGGGCCACACACCTTTCAACCTTTTATTTATACAATATAGAGTTTCCTTAATCCAATAATGCTGGAGATCAACGCCATATTTGGTCAAAATCCATTTGACCGTTCTGGACTACCGGGCATTTGTTTTAATGAACAGTTGGTAAAAAGATACCAGATCATGGCATAATGTCATGATCATTAACCTTCAGGCAGGTGAACTAACAATCAGGTTAAGGTTGAATTTTTAGAGAGGTAATATGGTTTCATATTGACTGCAAGAGATTTAAATTAATATATTATACCTAAGGATGCAAATAACAGTCTATGGAATGCACAGAGTTCTTCAGGCTAGTATAATTGTTTAACATGAATGACATTGACCACAACTGTTGCTGAATATGATGTCCTCTGAAACATTTAGTTAGAGCTTGACCAGATGGAATAGTGCAGTGTCTAGTGTATGATGTTTTATCACATACCTGTTGAATCTTGTTATAGCAATACAGGCAATTTTCAGAATATTTTTATGGGAATCCCCTTGTCATGGTGAACTGAAAAGTTTCGNCCCCTTGTCATGGCGAACTGAAAAGTTTCGGGTATTTGCAAAAAATGTCACAGTTTATAAAATCTTTGTATCGATCGCTACCAAATACGGAAGGTATGTGATCAAAGCAAGACCACACACTTGTGTTTTTCTAACGAATAGAAAGCACTCATTTATTGTGCGGACGTATATATTCGTCCGCGCAATAAACTTGTGTTTCTGATTCGTTAGAAAAACACAAGTCTGTGGTCTTGCATATATAACACCTACATGTATTTCAACTGATCTGTCCTCACAACTACACATCAAATTAGGTTTACTTTAATAACATACAATACTCAATACAAATATAAGAGCCTGATTGGTCTATTTTTCTGTGTGTTCATTGCATGTGCATGTAAATCCAATGTTTTCTCTTGAAAAAAATCTACAATTTGCCAAAATCAATCACTTTAATATTCACCAATGTCATGTTTTAGAACAAGGACTTGTTTTGCTATTGCTAAAGGTCAACCAAATATCATACATTGATGTGTAGTTTTGTCAGTTTTACTTAATCCAATTGTCGTCATATCAGGCACATATTACGAGGAGGACGTTAAATCCTAAATAAAACCAACAATTAAAGTAAAGGGTGCCACTGTATCGGCTATAACTGTGAACAAGAGTAAAGGGTGTCACTGTATCAGCTATAACAGTGAACAAGAGTAAAGGGTGCCACTGTATCAGCTATAACTGTGAACAAGAGTAAAGGGTGCCACTGTATCAGCTATAACTGTGAACAAGACTAAAGGGTGCCACTGTATCAACTATAACAGTGAACAAGAGTAAAGGGTGCCACTGTATCAGCTATAACTGTGAACAAGAGTAAAGGGTGCCACTGTATCAGCTATAACTGTGAACAAGAATAAAGGGTGCCACTGTATCAGCTATCACAGTGAACAAGATTAAAGGGTGACACTGTATCAGCTATAACAGTGAACAAGAGAAAAGGGTGTCACTGTATCAGCTATAACAGTGAACAAGAGTAAAGGGTGCCACTGTATCAGCTATAACTGTGAACAAGAGTAAAGGGCGCCACTGTATCAGCTATAACTGTGAACAAGAATAAAGGGTGCCACTGTATCAGCTATAACAGTGAACAAGATTAAAGGGTGACACTGTATCAGCTATAACAGTGAACAAGAGTAAAGGGTGCCACTGTATCAGCTATAACAGTGAACAAGAGTAAAGGGTGAAACTGTATCAGCTATAAATGTTAACAAGAGTTCCACTCATTATCTTTTAATATGAGTAGCAACAAAAATAACATTTCTTGCTTATAGTAACTTCCCCTGTCAAGTTATTTTATCTTCAATGTGTAATGTTTTTTCATGGGTTTGTATCCTAGAGATTGGACACTCACTTTGACGTGGTGCAGTTATTGGCCTATAAATCCTTATTGACATCATTGATAAGGTGTAGGCTTTACAATATGAAGGTCTTGACTGTTACTTCTCTATTTTTTGTTTCCTTTTTTTATTTCTTTTTCCAAACATTCTTTAAAACAACTACAATTCTGTAAAATCCATTGCAATATGTGATTTTTAAGGAATACTTCAACATATACTTCCTACTAGTACCATTGATATCAATCCTTCATAAGGACCTGTTACAGGTAAATATCAAGATAATCTAAAGGTAATCTGACATTACTAAGAACAACGGTAACCTCCAGAGAACTTGTTAGGTAGGGTGATGTATAACACTTAATAAACAATATGGACACTTCCCTCTGTCATTGGGACCTTTAATTACATGAATTTCCACATTAGGACCTACTACAGGTAATTACACATTAGGAACTAATACAGGTATTTACACGTTAGGATCTAATACAGGTAATTACACATTAGGACCTACTACTACAGGTATTTACACATTAGGACCTTCTACAGGTATTTACACATTAGGACCTACTACAGGTAATTACACATTAGGATCTAATACAGGTATTTACACATCAAGAATTCTTACAGGTTTTTACACATTAGGACTTACTAATGTATTTACACACTAGGAACGAGTAAGGGTACATGTCTACATGTATTTACACATGTATTTACACATTAGGACCTTTTACAGGTATTTACACATTAGGAATTCTTACATGTATTTATAGATTAGGACCTACTACATGTATTTACACACTAGGATCTACTACAAGTATTTACACATTAGGACCTACTACAAGTATTTACACATTAGGACCTTTTACAGGTATTTACACATTAGGAATTCTTACATGTATTTATAGATTAGGACCTACTACAAGTATTTACACATTAGGATCTACTACAAGTATTTACACATTAGGACCTACTACAAGTATTTACACATTACGAACTACTACAGGTATTTACACATTAGGACTTTCTACATGGATTTACACATCAAGAATTCTTACATGTTTTTACACATTAGGACTTACTAAGTTGGTTTTTATACATAAGGACTGAATTTTAGGGTATTCAGTTTACATTGAGATATTGTTTATAACTATCTAGTCTGTTTCTGTCTCATTTTCACGTTGCCCAAAATTGGGTTATTCGATGACAGTATTAGCCTTTTCAAACATCAGGGGTCAAAAACAAGAGATTAATTTTATAGGACATATATATACATAAAGAATGAGAGAAAATCTTGAAAGAAAATGGGGTCCTTTGCAATTGTTTTGCAAATTTTGATATAAAAACAGTGTTTACATGAGACGACCCAATGGTATTTTTTTTACACCACTGATTCAGTTGAGTTTTCACAGCAAACTATTTCACAACATCAACAATCAATAAAGTGAGTTGTGAGCTGTGTTATTCTGTGATTAACGGAGTGAATTAGTGCTAATTGCCCCCACTGACGGTGTGCTAGACTGATCTAGTTACTCCTCCGTGTTACTTCTTATCAGATCATGTATCACAGCAATATGATGGCTGATGGCAGAGGCTCCTCAACATTACACTGCTAATTGTTTACATTGCTGAGGTAGCTGTGCCTCTGTTCAATAGGGGCCATATGGATATATATTACAAGCTAACTTCTGTGATGTGTTCATGAATCATCTCTTATATCATCATCATTGCCATATTAAGCAGTAAAGACAAAAATACTGATACATATGTATTGAATAACTACCTTGCATCCAATTGATAATTCTAATCAATTGAAAACAAATGAAAGATCATAAAACTTCTATTTTATATTTTTTTTATGATATCGTCATTTGAAAGTGATGTTGAATTCCTTAACACTTAAGAAACAAGTCTGTGCCTTATAGTTTGTGTTTGTGTATTAGGCATGCTACTTTCATTTCAATTATACAACGCTGCAGAATCCTTTATAAAAAATAAACGAACATGTGAGCCTTAATTTAATTTGTCAAATGTTGACCATCTCTCTCACGTGTACGACCTCAACATTGAAATAATTGACAGGGCAGGCGGACGTGCATGCACGTGCGCTACATCTAACGTTAAACGTCGTAAACAGCTGTTTTATAAGAGATCGATGAATATTGAAGGATACACACATGTATAATAATTTAATTCCATTGATGAAGACAAGTACATACCGTCCGGAGAAATGAGATATCATCCTGCTCCGAGCCCCCTCCTTCTCCGGGATCCGCCATGTTGTGTATGTGAAAATTTCACCGGTGTTGATGCACGTCGCGTTTTCACTAGAAGGCTAACGTTTAATGGGGCCTTGACGGGAGCAGCACGTTAACTGTACATGTCCTCCGCGCGGGGCTAATCCAAGACATTCGTTAGCCGGCTACCAGAACATGGGAAACGAAAGTATTTGTCAGGTTCCGAGAGGGTCAGTTTGAGCAGCAGTGTTACACTCATTTACATAGATTATAAACGCCCATTGAACAAAATCTCACCGGCAAACTCGTGGAATGGCAGATAGCCGTCACGCAGCTGCTGCAACAAACCAGAGGTGTGCTAAAAATAGACTACGCTCTACCGTTGGAAAAACTCGGTTCAGGTAGAGCGAGCGCATCACACTCGTATGAGTACTGTCTATTTCACAGGAGTAACCAACGATGTCTCCTTACGTCATACAGTAGGAGCGATCGTGTTCGTCTTAACAATCAGTTCTTAATTGATAATATTATGACGTTTTGATTGACACTTAGATTTCCAATAGACCAAGCTAACAAAAAGGATTAACACAAACATCTCTTAAAAGTCCAAATGTTGATAGAATAATTGTTCATTATAAGTATTTATTTGAAGAACCAAGTGCGATTCTTCGTAAATTCTGGTATTTCAACAAATCTTCAATTGTATGCACATTCACACTTTTCGTAGTTTAAATCTGTCTTCTTCTTCTTTTTCCATTATATGTTCGGGAATTCATTTTCCCCTTTAAATTCTGCCTTTGAGACCCAACTTTTGTTTTGTCCTACCAAGGAATTAGCTAAGTCTGTGGTCCTGCTGCTTTAAACCCAACCTACTGCTTTAAACCCAACCCACCTTTTGAACACTGAATCTGCCCTTCTGTTGTCCTATTTTGGACAGTTATTTGTAGTGTATCTTCATTCTTTGATTTCCAAACTGTTTTCCTTCCTGCTTTAAATCTCTATACTAACTTCATGTATACTTTTTGTAAATAAAGTTTTATCATATACGAAAATACCATAAAAAATAAGTTTTTAACTGCCACCTCTAGGAACCTCTCACAGTCACAATTGCACTCCATCGATGATGATGATGCTGATGAAATCTAATCTGCTATTTTTCTCCCTGTTTTGAAATTCAGCCATTTCTATTGGTATCATACTGAAATTAAATCTGCTGCATTGTCATCCTTCTTTAAAATTCGATTTGCTGTTTTTCATCCTTCTTTGAAATTCAATTTCCTTTAGATTTTTTTCCCGTTATGCTCTGGAATTCCATTTCTCTTTTTCATTCTGCTTTGGAATTCGAAACTGTTCTTTTGTTTTCCTGCTTTAATTTCCATTAATCCATCTTTTGAATTTAGTCTGCTGTTTTTTCTTTCAGACTTAAAATTAGATTTGCTGTCCTATCATTCTACTTGGGACTGAATCTTTACGTTTGTCTGATTTCATCCTGCTTAATTAACTCTAGTTTTCCCTTTGTCATTCTGCTTTCTGTTCGTTTGATATTTTAAAATTCAAACTTCTGTTAATTTCATACTTCTACATGTATTTAATTTTGTAATCATCCTGTAAAATTCAATCATTTCTTTTCTTCTAACCTTCAAATGCAATCTTTTGTTTTGTCATCCATCTTTGACATTCAATCTGCTCCTATGTCATCCTGCTACATTTTTACCATTAGCCTTTGAAATTCAATCTGTTATAATATTTATACTCCTGTTTCATCATCATTAATATACTTTGAAACTCAATCTGTTATAATATTTATACTCCTATTTCATCATCAATATACTTTAAAACTCAATCTACTTTCTTGGCGTCCTGTTTTCAGAAATGTTGCCAGCATTGCTTAATGTTGTTGAACCGTTTATCAAAGTGTAACCTAATTATCAGGGTCACAAAGAGGAGGAGAGCATATTTTCCAGAAATACACTTAAGCATCAGGTATACATGAGTAAAAACAACCTAGGTATCAACCTCTGAAACCTCCAATGAGGGAGATCTCCCAAATTACCCATTTGCAATGAAGGAACAATTGAAACCGCTTTGCTCAATTTATCTTTCCCTTTTCATGTATCAAAATAACTCCAAAAACCATTCTATTGATTCAGACACCTGTTATGATCATTACACACCCTATACTAACTAGGAGATGATTTGACCACATTATGTAGATTTTGAGTTTTTGTGAGTTTGGACTTGAATGAAGGAGTTTCGTGGGAGATTGATAAATTTTAGTCAAATTGAAGGAGGGTTGACAGCTACTGTATGAAATACCCTCGTGTTATCTAGAATTTTTAGGATAAGTACCAAGTTTTGTTAGAAACTTTGCAAAACATTTATCATCTATAAATTTGTAAGGCAAATGAATACTTTCTTACACAGAACACTTCAGGACATTCACTGAGCATCTGAATTAAGAGGCAAAATGAGTAAAAATAATATGTGACCATGTCTTCAGTACATTTTTGGCGGATGTATGTCTACTGTCTATCTCTGACACTTGCTGTAATCACCATGGTCAAATAGACATTGGATACCACTTTAACTGTACAATTATTACAGTGCTCGGTACATCAAAGCATCTAGTTCTTTAATGTGTGATAATTAATCAGTTCATTAACATCGGATTTGATGTCCAGCAATCGTATTGGGTTATTGGGTTGGTGATCGTAACTGTTTCCAGTATATAACCCAAGTCCCGGGGTTATTACAGTAGCATGAAGAGTATTTGCCTGTACATTATAGGGTGGGAATCTCAACCATTTCCATATCACGACACAGAGTCTAAGTCTCACAGGCAGAACCGTTCCTAGTGATATGATTGTGTTATCATGGTTTATGAGGTGGAGATCTCAACCATTTACATGTTATGACACAGGGACTAAATCCTGGGGACGGGGACGGACCACAGGACCAATCCTGGTAACATATTAGTATTGGTCTATTCATACCATCATTTGAAGATTTGTTTTAAGGGTAGGGATATTTCCAAGTTTAAATGACACTGGGACAAAGTCCTCAGAGGTTGGCCAGACCCGGGAGCCAACCCTAGTAGCTTAAGGTGTTCCTGGTCTCACCCTTAGTAAGTGGGTATATGATTATAGGGCAGAAATCTCAGCTATTTCAAAGAAAGTACACATTTTTGGCCCTGCCTCTCAACCCCTTGGAGAGTCGGCTTATTTGTTGATATATCTTTTAATCATCACCCTCTGAGAATACTCTCAACTAAATACTTGGTATTCATCACAGTTTTAGAGGAGAAATGTTTTCTTAGAAACACTGTCAACATTACCAATTTCTTTCCCCACCTGTCAGCTGCCTTTTGAATTAGCTCCTGTGTTTAAACATGTTTTAATTCCTACCATCTGAAGGTGCTTCCAACCAAATATGGTTAATATCCATCACATAGGCTAATTTCCAGAGAAGTCCTTTTAAGATAATATTGTCAAATTCATAGTTTTTGACCTTGCCCTTCACCCCTAGGAGGTAAAGCCACTCTGTATTTTTACAATTTGAATCTCCACAAGTTTTTGATGTTTCCAGTTGGATTTTGTGAAATTCCACGATGTTTTCAGAAGAAATCATTGACTGACTGATGAACAGTAGACGCCACAGAATTGCATAATTATAGCTCTGCTTTGTCCTTCAACCAGATGAGCCAATAAGGTAACAGAACCTTCTCCCTAAAAAATACTTAAGGACCTTTTTTGTGGCCCTTTCTGAATATATACATTAACCCTGAGTGATACATTTCATCACATTATAATGCCTGCTAAAACTGTCTTTGAATCCTGAGCACATTATAATGCCTGCTAAAACTGTCTTTGAATCCTGA